AGGGGGGACCTGTGTTTCTCACAGCAACAGTAAGTTTGGGATAAATGAGGAAGGAACAATGGCAAAGGCTGGTTGTTTGCATAATTGGTGACACGGTTAGCATGTTTTCTGGTTGACCATTGCCTCATGATCTGCCACGGGAGGTTTTAGTGACAATATGAAAGTTGCTACTAAATAGGGGGTAGTTTTGAAACATCAACTCCAACAAAGCAGATGTAATCCTAGAATCCAAAGTGACTGCAGGATTGAGTGATTCAGTTGGACAAGTCAGAAAGACAAGGTAGTCAGTTCAGGCAATGAGTGGGTTCTCCTTTCGGGTTCAGGATGACAGGACACTTCTAGTTTCTGCTAGCAGCTGTCATGGTGTCTAATCTTTTCTGTCTAGCTAAAGCTTTTGTGGAAAAGCATTCACTGACAAAGAGGAAATGGTTTGGCTGCTTCCTTGGAAGTTGTCTTATGGTGTGGAATGTGATAGCAGCCATTGTTTGGGGATTTCAGTCTTCTGGTGAAGATATACTTTTTTAATATATATTTATACTTAAGGTGATCAAACAACATTATTTGAGAGCTATTGTAGAAGCAATCTGCAGTAAAACACATATTCTTCTTTAAGTTAAAAACACACCCAGAAGCATAGAATGGCTGTGAATAGAAAAAGAAAAAAGGCCAACTGATATGACTAGGGGAGTTAGCAAACAAAGTGTGTGCCTAAGATAGCATATACAGGACTACAGATGAGAATTAAAGCCGACCTTTCCTGAGAAATGATTATGGAAACGACTGAGATAGTTATGAGCAACTTGGGAGAATTACATGTTGACTGTAAATTTTAAGAACAACAGATTGATGGTATTTTTTCTTAGATAAGACCGTGTATATCTTGGGTTATCTCTTAAGTTGCTATGTAGCAGAATATTACACTGAATATTTAATACTCCTGTTTCTGTCTCCTGAATGTCTGGACTTGGAGACACATACTACACAAGGGTTTATGTGGTGCTGAATATAGATCCCAGGGCTTTGTGGATGTTTATAAAGTGTGTGTGTGTGTGTGTGTGTGTGTGTGTGTGTGTGTGTGTGCACGTGTGAGAGAGAGAGAGTGTGTGTGTGTGCCCTCTGATTTCTACAAGACTCATGATGAGGAGAACACTAACTGGGCATTTTGTATAGTGTGTATAAATATTTAGGTCAAGAATACCAAGAAACATTGGCATCTTTGCATCACTGAAAATAATTGCCAATCACATTTGATTTCGCTGCAAATGGAACTAACAGGTCATTATGATGCTATGGCCATGCTGTTAACTACCCTCAAAGTTCAGGACAACAAAACAGAATGTATAGTGATATCTATTGTTTTCAGAAGATGTGAGCCACAAACTCTGTTTTAATTAATGAACCTGAGCTCATTAACAAAATCTTTACAATATGGTGTTCAGATATATCCATGCAATAAGAATACTCCATGCATGCTGTAGCAACATTATTTGACAATGCTTTAAGAAGTGACAGCTCTATGTAGTCAGGCAGTTGGCATGGTGGTATAACACAGGTAGGTCAGCCTGGGAATGAGGTGTGAAGATGCTTGAAAGAATATGTTGAATGACACATTGCGCAATAAGTTTGAGAAATTCCTTCACGTAATTTAGGTAGTTATTGGGAGTTACAGATGGGCTGAGAGTTGCTATTGGACCATATAGATTTCTAGAGTACTATTTAGAGTATCTGCTTCACCTTGCTTGGCAAGTCAGAGGTACATATTATAAAATTTACAGTTCCATTTATTTTAGTTTAAGGATGCTCTCACAGCATATTACCCAACATTTGGAAAAGCTAGTATGAACACCTGTATTTTTTATGAACTTGACTCTATCTTATACTTTCATATTACTTTTATGTCAAGCACAGATGCTTCACACTATATAGTTGCTTTGAGTTAATGATATAAGCTTCAAACATTGCAGGGCACTGTAGATCTGGATGTAGAATAAGGGGTAGAGACCCAGTGACATTGATTCTAAAAGGGGGAAAAAACCTGCTTTTTAAAATAGTTAACAATGAACATAAGCAGTAACCTACAACACAATGATTAAGAAGTTGAGGTGAAAGGAAAAGTATGGGCTCAGGACCCCCTAGGCCAAGTTCTCAGCACAAAGGAGATTTATTCAAACCAGAGGGAGAGGAAAAGAAGAGGGAAGGGGATAATAACAAACACAAGATATAGAGGACAAGGGAGAAGGGGCAAGGATATTTGTTCAGAGGGACAAAGGACGGGCCCTGGGTAGAAGTGAGACAGACAGGAAAGACAGGAAAAAGGTAAGCTTATAAGGGCACAAGGGGCAAAACCATGTTGGGATGAGGTATTGAGTTTTAGTGAGATAGGTTAATTAAGCCAGCCAAGGGGGGCTTTTGATTGCTGGACCTCGGTGACCAGCCTCAGGAATGAGCCTGACATGAGAAAGTGTCCAAATGAAGGGCTAGACCTTTATGGCTAGCTTTAAGGGTGTGCTTCACAGTTTCCAAGGGAGAGGGAAGGAGGAAGGGCATGGCCTGCCAGCACCAAGTTTGACAAACACAGGCCCTGCTGGAGCACTTCAGGAAGAGCTTATTCTTGTTTTTTCTTTACAGACATTTAGATTTTATTCTTTCTATTTCATTGAGAAATAGGCATCTGTGTGTCAAATATGCAGGAAATGCCCAATTTACCCATGTGCAGAGGTGGACATGAATGTAATATTTGTGGTAACAAAAAAGGGACAGATGTAATATGCAGGAATAGGTTCCAAACTTTTCTTCTGTTTTAAATTACTCATCAGACATTTGCAGACCCAAGCAAGAAATTGATGCCTTGGCAGGGGGTGGGGGGCATCTTTAAATCCTGATTATAAAACACTCACTACATAGGAGCAATGGCTCTGGGCTTTGGAACTGGAAAACATTTTTAGAAAAGACCTTATCAGTACAGAAGACAAATAGAAAAACAAGCAAATTCCATAAAACTGAGAAGTTTTGTAAAAATAAAGGAAGAAAACTTGAGGAGAGACAACTTAGAGAATGGGAGATACTTGTCTATCATCCACCTGAAAAAAGGTTATTATCTAGACTATGTTAGGAGCTCCCCAAATCAATAATAGAAAAATAACATGTGTCAATTAGAAATGGGCATTGTATATAGCTAAGAAGTCCTGCAAACAAGTCATGCAAATGTGTGCTGGGTAAATATAAAAATTTCAACATCACCAGTCATGAAGAAAATCAAAATAAAAATCACACTGAGATATCCCCTTACCTCAGTAAAAGTGGTTTGTTTGTTTTCCAGAAATATGAGTTCCTCAGAAAATCATGAGTAGAATTCCCATATGGTCCAATAACCCACTACAGTGTATACAAAAAGTGACAGTTTGTCCAAGAGACCATTACATGCCTGTGTTTATTGTGGCACTATTCACAATACTCAAGAATTGAACACTCTTTAAATGTCCATCAGCCAAGGAATGAATAAAGAACACATAGTAATCACACAATAGTCAGGAAAAAAAATGAAACCCTGTAACTCGTGGCAACATAGACAGAACTGATGATCCAGACATTCTCTTAATTAAGAATCGCTTTTCAGATGGCTCTGACAAGATGGCTTTGTCAAATTGATATTTAAGACAACTAGGATAGGTATTAAGTCACAGTTAGCCAACAGTAAAAAATGTTCTTTTCATCATTTAACTTTATAGTCTGACCTATTGATCATCTTCAATCAGTTTAAGAGTATAATATGACCATTTACATTTGTTCAATTTCATCATTACATTGCTGTTCTCTTTCTCTTGTTTTCAGTGCTGGGACTCATACACCAGACTCCAAACACGTAGGTTAGTGGGCATAGCATCATATAACTGCCGTAACTCCAATATTGGTAGTGTCCTTAACATCTTTATAAGAATATAATAACATTACCTGTATTCCTGATCTAAAAATTCAGGGACAGTTCATAGCTCTATAGTTTTCTGGCCTTAGATAATTCCAGTTTTACATTCTACAATCCCTGAACTAGTGCTATGTGTTTAAGCATCAGTGCTGAGTTTTGGCCATTGTATGTTTAATAAAAGTCACAATATTGAGGAAAAAGAAAGGGAAAAAGCCTAGACATTAATTTAAGGACTTATCCCAGGGTTTTAGATGTCTTTTTTTTATGTCATAGGGAGTTACACTTGCTTACATTTATTATTATTGTTATTATTATTATTTTCATGAGGAATGCTAGAAGTCTAGAAACAGGTTATTAGATAACATTCTGAGAAAATGGATAGGCATTAAAAATTAATTAACAGCACTTTAATTTTTTAACAAATTGACATTATTTCTTTGATTGGGATAATTGGATATATTTTAAGCATTTTACTGGAAACAGGAAGGTATAGCATGACTGGATCAGACGCATTTGATAGTATATCTTTGCACATTATAATCAATACCAGTATTGGAACTGGACTTGATGGCACATGCCTTTAATCCCAGCACTCTGGAGACAGGCAGACAGATATCTGAGTTTGAGTCCAGTCTGGTCTACAAAGCACAAAGCTAGTTCCAGGACAGCCAGGGCCACACAGGGAAACCCCGTCTTGAAAATCAAACAAAATACAACACAAATATCAGTATTTTCACAATTATTCAGTATTTTCTATAAATTACATCTTATTGCCACTGATAATGTAATTTATAACAATGTAGACTGGAAAAGTTCTACAAGAATTTTGCTTCCATTAACAAATAGTACTACCCAATATTGGACCAGCTTAACTTTGTGTACCTATGATGGAAAAGTGAAAAAAAAAAAAAACCCTTATCTTTAATACTAATGGCTAAGATGCCTATTTCCTCTCCATCTACACTGCTTAGAAAAATTTACAATGTGTTTATAAAGCATGAGATAAGAAAATATCCTGACTTCCTCCTTCCCTCTCCAATAAAAGCTTGGAGAAGCACCCAGTCTCCAGGTTGGCACCATGGTTGTCCTGGTATGGGTACTGGTTGGCTGCCTTTCTGCTGCTGTAGCAGAGGACCCTAACCTCTCATCTCTATATCCTCCTTTCTGGGAAGACATCACTGGACAGTTGAGTGGTTTTGATTTGGAGGATGGAAAGTACATAATAAACCCATGGGAATTCACTGATAGAATGAAATTGTATAAAATCTTACTGAATAAGACCGCCCCATATTTTGCAAAATATGGTCCAGAAAATGAACAAAATCTTTTGTGGGGATTGCCTCTGCAGTTTGGATGGCAGTATACAACAGGTAAGAAAGATTCTTACTCTCCTATATGCTGATATATGCCTGAAGTATTAGGAAAATAGGATTCTCCATGTCGTACATTGCTATCTAGTTTTATGTTAACTTGACTCAGGCTAGTGACATTTGAGAAGAAGGAACGTCAGTTGAGAAAATAGTTTCATAAGGTCAACCTGTAGGCAAGCCTTTGGGCTTGTTTAGAGACTGATGGGAGAGGGCTCAGCTCATTGAGGGTGGTGCCACCCCTAAGCTGGTGGTCCTGAGTTCCATGGGAAAGCAGACTGAGCGAGCCATGAGGAGTGAGCCAGTGAGCAGCCTGCTCCATAGCCTCTGCATCAGCCTCTGCCTTCAGGTTCCAATACCATTTGAGCTCTAACCTTGGCTTCCATCAATGGACTGTGATTCAATAAAAAAAAAAAAAAAAAAAAAAAAAAGAAAAGAAAAGAAAAAAGAAAAAAAGAAAAAAAAAAAAAAAGCAAATCCTCTCTTCTCGAAGTTGATTTAGATCATGGTATTTCCTCACCCCTGTAATAACCCAAACATGTCTCTTTAAAAACCGATTCTTTGTTTACTTCCTAATCTTCTCATAGTCATTGTTTCATCCATTCCTATTTGTACTTACCCACAAAACCTTTTCCACTGAATTGATTATTTCTACCAGACACTTCAAAGACACATGGGCATAGAGACCAACCAGAAAGATTCATCCTTTCTCTAATTTGCTGAGTATTTTCAAAATAGTGACTTCTCCACTGAATTCCTTCCTGTTCCTGTGGACACACAAGGGGACATTCATTACAGCTATTACAGGAGTGATATCTGATTATATTGACCTTGATATTATATCATATTTTATTGACCTGATTTCAATTGCCTGATCATAAGCATGAAATTATAAATGTGTGGTTCCTTGCTAATGGTGAGCTATGCCAATTGTTGCTTCTTGGAAACCAAGCTTTTTTCAGTGCATATACATGGAAGATGTTTGGGGCAACACACTCGTGTATAAAAAAAGATAGTTCTTTCTGGCTGAAAGAAGATGTGTGTGAGGAGACTGGTGCCTGATATCCAACCTGCACTGCTTCCTTGTTGCTCAGCAAGTAAGAAGAGAGAGGTGGTGAGAAGGGAGGAAGAGAATGGTGTCAGACTAGGAAAAAAAGAAAGATTATTTTCTGATGTGCTGATGTTTATGTAATGGATAGTCAATGTGTAAAATACTTCTGATGACTTGCCTTAACTATGTCGAAATCTCATTTGTATGGAATATTGTTATCTCCACTTTACAGCAAGGTGCAAACTGATACACATGTGATCATGTAATTTAGAAAATATAGACCAAAGATTTGGTTTGACTCCTTTTCTGTGAGTGACTGTTGCTCCCATGATTTTTACTAGGAATAGAGAAGGCAGCAAAATGGAAAGTTATGTATGTAAAACGTTCTATAGCCTATAAATTCAAAGACAAAATTTTGATATGACTGAAAACATAAAATAATTTTGTTGAGAGATGAGAAAATATTTTAAAAATGGTAAGTAAAATATAAGTAAATTGGAAAATTTTGTACCTATAAATTAAATGTATGTATTTAATAATTTTAAATGTGCATAATAAACAAATATAACTGTGTATTCTCTGCCCTGTAGGTAGATTATCTGATCCCACTGGAAAGACAACCTGTGGCTATGAAATTTTAGACGAGCTATGTGTGTCTGTGAACAGTTGGTGGGCTGGTAGGTTCAATTCAATAACAAAATTGTACCTTTGCATCAAAGAATACATTTAAACCCAAATTGTAGATGCAGAGACTAAAATAATTCTGCAACTTTTGAAAGATAAATCTACTTCATCATATGCCAGTTTCCTTGATGACATATGGCAGAGTTGACCAGTCAAATAATAATTCTTAAGAATGTATTCAGACTTTTCACAGAAGGTTTAAATCAAGGAACTGCAAAGGTCATGGCCTTCAGAGAGACCAGTACTGTCAGTGACATGACAGGTTCCCAGAGGAACATGAAATTGTCGAAAGGGAACAAGATAACAATGCTTTTCCTTTTTGCTCAGAAAAAAAAAATTGCTAAATGATGAAACTCACAAAGTAGAATATTACTCTAGCAAGTAATATTATACTTTTCTTGGTTAATGTATAACTAAGGCTTCAGTCATGTAATCAATACTAAAACAACCTGAATATATTTTCTAATTCCTTTATGGTATGTTTTGATTTGAAATTAATTTACATAAACATTTATTATATTTTTTCCAATGATTAGAAATGACATTTCATTAAATTTTACTTTTGGTGGAATGGCTTGTAAACAGTATGATCCACTGGGTATTTCCCTCATGCTAACTTGAGTCATTCTTTTCAAAACTCGTAAACAGACTTGTCAACAGCTCTAGATATCTGATTGGTTTAGTAATTAAGGTATTAAGGATGAGTACAAGCCAATTACCTAACTGAATTAAAATGCTTACATCTGCTGGACTTGTCCTCTATAACTTCAAAATTTGAAACCCTGTGAAGTTTATTAAGCTGTAAGACATAACTTCCTGCTTTAGAGAAATAGGATAAAAGCCTCAGTGATATGATGTATAAAAATTATACTAACTTGTGAATCATTAGATATGCATTTTATGAGTCTATGATAATGCTTAATTCTTTTATAAAAAGTTAAAATCAACAACATAATCTCACTGAGAACTTCTGTAATTGTCTGTGAACAATTTGATAGTCTTTCTTTCCTTTTGTATTTAATGCTTTGAAATAGGATTGTTATCCAATCTACTAATTATTACTTCTCTTAAAAATATAATATGGCCCTTTAGTGGGTATATATACAATCATGATCATAGGATTATTAAAATTTAAGTTGATTTTCCTCACTATTTCTAGTTGATAATTTTATCATCATTTAGAACCTGTGACTTTTCCTTAATGACTCATGTTTCCTCAAAATGTGCTCTAGAATTTGTCACTGGCTGTGGTGTGGGGCTAACCATCCTTTTGTTTTTACAGATGTAAATTATTTTTTGAGTGTGTTACCTTTCCTTGCTGCTGTTGATTCTGGCATACTGGGGATATCATCAGACGAATTCAGGATTTCACTACCACCTCTGGATGAGTCAAGGTTTTGTTATAATGTTTCCGACTGCAAAGAGTTGGTTGGTGAAACAATGGACAGCTGGTCTACCTTTTTTGAGGTTCTTCTTTTAAGTTTTTATGCCATATTCCTCAGCCATGCAGACACAATGATTTTGTTAAAGTGTTTGTAAAGTATTGTTTTTGTGCATTGTATACTTCCCTTAATATTAAAACATAAATTTTGTAAATAGATTTTACTCATAAGTGATATAGAAATATAGTGCATGGCTTAGAAACCCACCATTCTCATACAGTACTAACACAAAATTTATCTGTTCTCACTGCTTGTAAAGGAATACCACAAATGGTTAAGATGCATGCCATTTTAAGAGAGTAAATAGGTATATGAGTAATTGGGAATTTAGGTTATTTGTGGAATATTATATGAATCAGAATTATAGCCTTATTTTAGAATAGTCTACCAAATTACTGAAATTGAATTAATAACTATTCATATGTAGGTAAAACTAAAAATTGATGTCATGCTGAACTAACCATTTGATGGCCAAAATAAAATACATTGATCAAGCATAGAAGCTAAATGTTAATAATTTAAATGTATATTTACTAGTTCTTTAAATGGTTAATTCATTGCTTTAGATATAATTCAATTTAATTTTGAAATTTTTCTTATCACTGAAAATTTTATGAGAATTTTAATAATGTTGACAGGAAAAATGTCAAATATTCTGTCAAGTGTAAAACATGGACATTTTGAAGATACTTGCAGTTCACTCCAACCAGATGATGTGCTTTACTGAAAAGTACTAGATATTCTTCTCCCCTTAGCTGTTAGGCACTAGAGTGTGGCATGTAGGACCAGCATTTTCAGTTCATGCTGACTCTTGCTCCTACCTCTGAGCCTGGTAGAGTTTGAGGGAGAGTTGCCCACATAATACTTTTCCCTCTATGCTTTAGTACATGCAGTTGCCTTCTAGCGACTTTGACGGCCTTTTAAAGCACTTATGGGCTGCTCATACCTCGTCCTTGGAGTATCCTGTCAGTGCCTTTGAAGACAGGTAAGAAATAGTTTTTGTCTTTGTTTTAGTCTGATGTTTTTCCATTACTTTGGTAGAAAACCAAGGACAAAAGCAACTTAGGAAAAAAATAGTTTGTTTCAACTTACAAGTTATGGTTTATCATCCAGAGAAGCCAGAGCAGGAGCTCAAGCAAGAACCTGGAGGCAGGAACCAGAGCAAAGACCATGGAAGAATATTGCTCAGTTCAGCTAAGTTTCTTGTGGATAGCTCAGGCCTGCCTCCTTAGGGTTGGCACTGCCTACAGCAAATTGGGTCTACCTGCATCAATTAGCAATCCTGAAAACACTTCATAGACAGATACAGGCCAATCTAATGAACATAATTCCTGAATTGAAATGCCTTCTTCCCAGGCATGTCAAAGTTTGTGTCAAGTTGACTAAAACTAACTGGTGTGGTCTTATTCATTTCTTTTCATTTTCTTTTAGAATAACTGTGTTTTTTTAAATCTTAATAATAAATAACTAGTGTAATCACTGGTGACAATGGTGAGAAAGGGAAAATTTGGACTATGTTTTAGGGTGGCGGGTATTGAATCAGTGATGTGCTCTCATTTCTCAGGACACTCTTTGCCTTCCCCCTGTGCTATAACTTCTATTTCTTCCCCTTTCTTGGTGTGCTGTGCCTGCTGGGGTTCATGTTCTGCTCAACTGAGGATGGGTGTAGAGTAGGAAAAGATATCTGAGACACGTAACATATGTATGACCTTTATTATTTTAGCCTCATTGTCTGAGGATTTAGGTGAATACAGGAACATGGGAAGTAATTTTCAAAACCTTGGTCATTTACCCCCAAAGTTTGAGTTTGGGGGAGTTTGAAGACGGTAGACTCCCCTTTGTGCACCTGTCCTTTGCTTTGTTCCCCGCTTTGGTACAGCCTGTGGCCCACATTTCATCCTTCCACTTGAGCTCAGCTGTCCTGCAGAACACTTTTCAGTCCCAGGTTCAAAAGGGAAGTCAAGATGCAGCTGCTGGGAACCTCAAAGTCTGCTGCTACTGTTTCTGTTTGTTTCTTTGTTTTATTTTTTGTTTTCCATTTGAGAGAACAAAGAAACTTGTGTTTATATCAAAGGAAGACAAATCTTAGGAGCTGATACGTAAAATTCAATATTTACATGTTGATTTTATAAACTAAGGTGCAGTTGGCATGTAGCAATGCACACAGATTTAGGTATTTATTCAGCTGCATGATTGTTGGCAACTGCAAGCACAGCACTTGTCAAACCCCCACCTAAAACAAAATGTAGGACATTTCTATCACTCTTTCTAGAATGTTCCTTATGTCTTTTTATTTTTTCTGTCCTTAAAAACTTCCTTTCTTTTTAAAAAAATATAAGTCACATAGAGGCTAAACCTCTCAAATAGCAGAAATAACTTCTGACACATCTGTCTTCTAACTCAAGGTTAGCAAACACTAACAAGCACAATATTTTCTCTCTCTTTCTTTTCCTTCCTTATTTCTTTTTCTTTCTTTACCTGTTTAAAAAAATATATATATCGCATGTATTGCAAACTGGCAGCTGAAAAAGAGGCTGCCCTATGATCTTCCTGTTTCTCATCCCAGTTGTGAAATACAAGCATGTGATACCAGGCCTTGTTGGTATTTGTTGTTACATAGCCAGACTGTATTAGTTACACATGTCCTTAACATGTTTATTACATTATTTTCAAGTACAGTGTGCCTAGAGGAATAACATAAGTGCAAAGTAAAATATTAAAAAGAGGCGACTAATTGAATAACTCTTCACCGATTTAGATTTAAATTTTATTTAGCTATCTGCACAATCTCCTGAAAAACAAGCCAAATTTGTGGTCCTATTGAACTTCATTTCAAAATAATGTTTGGATTTTATTTCTTGGTACTAGGTAATTACTACTAGGTAATCTCACTAGATTAAAATTCTGAGGAAATTAATCATAATTGATATTTTGTCTACTTATCTTTTAGATATGCATATTATTCTAAACAAGAAGTAAAATTTGAGGAAAACTGGTCTATTGCTGTAGAGTACATAGCTGCGGCCTACTTTCCTACAACCCTGAATAGAACAAACAGCTTTCAGAAGGGTCTGCCGCCACGCCTTCTTTATGATACTGACATAGCCCCTCTTATTGCTAACTTCACTTCTCTTCAGAACCAAGTCCTGCTGTCACTCACGGCTCTTGGTGATATTCATAAACTTACAGGTAAAAATTACTATTGAAAAAGATGGAACTAATGTAGTGGAAGAGTACATAAGCTAGTTAAGTAGAAATACGTTCAGTCAGCATACACTAAAAATGTATGGGTTCCTGTTGATGTATTTTGTATTTCCTTCACAGTAATGACTCTTGATAGATGGTAAGACCAGACCATTGAGCAACTACAGTTCTTTGATTTATGACCTGTCCTTTCATTTGGATGAAACCCTGAACTTTGACATCTGTAGTATCAAGTGAAATATGAAACAGAAAACCCCCACACAGCCATCATTTCTCTCCTGAAAACTTCTCTTTCTTATACATCATACTTGACTCTTAAGTCAAAAGGAAACCAATGAATTTCAAAAGACAATTTGCCATCATCAATGAGGTCACCTGACTCATTGGCTGCTTTTAATCCAGTACTACTAGTCAAGAAAGAAAACATGTGCTCCATAATGACAAAGCAGAGAGATAAACAGACTTCATTAATTAAGCATTTGAAGATTATCATGTCACCCATTTTACTCCTATGCCCTGGGACCTTGAGACAAACTAAATATAAATGCTATTACTATTTTGTAAAGGGAAAGATTTTTTGAATCGCTAAATTATAAGTGAGTGAATTATGTTCAAAATTGTGGGAAACTTTTGTCTTAAACAATCAGATCCACCAAATGTGTTAATGCCCTGGTGTAACTGATGTCCCTTCTCACCTGTTCCTTGGTTGCAGTGGGTTGCTGCCAGCTGACTGGCAGCATCCCTTCATGCAATGAACAGCAGACTGATCTTCAGTTGATGCATACTATTTGGAAGATTTGTACTAGCATCACCTTGTTTTCTCATAGACATGCAGTATTTTGTTTAATGAATTTAGTATGATTATGGAAATTGTTAAAAGCTGTGAGTGATAATACCAGGTCATCCCATGTACACTTTTTCTCATCATTTATGATTCTGCCACTTAGGAAGCATGACACAAAACTTTCAGGTCAGGTATGGCAGCATAATAATACTATCGGTGAAATAAAATTCTTTGTGAACTGATGATTTTAATATTTATTTTGATGAAATCAAATAAAATAAATTTGATCAATAGTCATTGCCTAATGGAACTAAAATGTTTTCAGGAGTTGACATGCATTCATTTTATCTTTTCTAGGATCATCATCTTTGACTGCCTGGAAAATTCTCATGAGTACAAAATTTGCAAGGGAACAATTTCTAAAAGCGTTTGAAGCCTATCTTGGAGCACCTACTTCTGACTTCAATTTTTAGTGAACAAAGAACAACTGCCTTTGACCACAAGCAATTAAAAATAATGACTTTGATCACAACCGTGTAGGTTTATGATTTGGGGATTTTTGCTTGGTGTTCATTTTTCAGAATTTTTCCCCATGTGTCCCTAGTATTAATTTTGCACAATAACTCTTGAATTTTAAATTCTGTAATACAACCAAATCACAAAGAATCATTAAAATGACATTAAGCATGTATGGATGTTTTGATGCTACTTTACATACTATAGGGTTTACAAAATGTAGAATAATATATCCTACTGATGTTTAACTAAAATCCAAAATATTTTTAAACCAAATACCAACATTCACCTTAAGTATTTAAATCTCATAAAATTTAATTGCAAATAGAAATCACTGATTTATTGGGTTTGATTTATGATTTGCTAACCTTAAGTTTATAGTTATTTGTTAGAGTTCCTAACATTGACCCACATTTGTAAAGAATCCTTCAGGGTCAAGTTTCTCATTGTTGTAAACTTTTAAGAGAGAGAAATGCACTGGATTGGCTTGATGATTTTCAAAGGGTTCCTCTGGAGAGGACGATAAAGAGACACATGGCAGCTACAAACCAAACATGTAGAAGTTCTGCCTGTTGCCCAATGTGCCTAATGTGTCTAATATGTCTCTTTTTCCTACAAATGCTTCTCATGACTCTGAATCCTGTAAGGCAGGGAAAAAAAATCCTTTCCTTTGACCAACTCCTGACTCCTGACATTTTGGTCATTTCAAACAGTGATAGCAGGGACATTTAAATCTGATACATGTTTGGTGATCCCGCCCAGGGAATAAAGCTGTTTCCCCTGAGTCATGGCAGTCTTAGGATCTCCATGGAGGAGTCATTATTACTTAGGAAGAGGGGAGCTGGCTGCCATGGCAAACTGAACCCATGCTTGGAACTCAGTGGAGCTGGTTCTCAGAGGCTACTGAGAATCTTTTGTTTTAAAAGTGGAGAGCCTCTTGTCTTTCCCTTGCACATCAGTGGCTTTCTATGTGGTTTGTTTCTATGTGGTTTGTTTCTATGTGGTTTGTTTCTATGTGGTTTGTTTCTATGTGGTTTGTTAATGCAGCAAGCAGCACATCATTTTCTGTGATGCTGATTATTTCTACCTATGCAAAACAACAGTTATATTTGTCCTCTCATGCCATCCACTTTGGTGTCTGGCTAGTCATCTAAACCTTTCTCAGATTGTTTTATTTGGTGCCAGCTGGTGTGAGATAAGGTATTTCTGACATTCTGAGTTTATGTTATTTTGCTCAGGTCATTTTGCTACACTAGAGGACATGACAGAAGTTATTTCTTCCATCTGGAGGAGGCCTGGGGTCTTTTTCCCACAGTTGTTGTGGCATATGATATAGAAGACTAATTAAAATTATGAGCATCTTTACCTCTGATGAAATCTTTTGTAACTTCTAGTGAGGAAGCAGGAATAGGCGATCCAAAGCAACCCACAGAACAAAGAAAATTTCTAACTTTTATAAACCTTAGAAAAAAGGGTAAGTTACTTTAGCATCTTAGTGATGGTATTAGGCCAGATATAAAGCTGTAACTTGGGTTGATTTTATTTCTGGGCTTCAGGAAACCAAGATCAATACCCTACCTTGTGCTGGAGCAATTATGTGCTAAGAGCTTAGAACTCAGGTTGTTTTAGGTCTGAAATGGGAGAGAAGAATAGCTGTATTTTAATTTAGGCTGCCAGCTCATAACAAAGGACAAGGAGACTTACTAATTATGAAAACTAGGCTTATAGCTTAGGCTTATACCATTAGCTCTTATAATTTAAATTAACCCATTTCTATTAATCCATGTTTTGTCTCCTGGCCTTTTGCCTCTCTTCCATCATGTACCTCCTGATTTCTCTCAGTCCTCTGGCATCTCCCCTGACCTATATTCATTTCCCTTTCTCTGCCCAGAAGTCCTGCCTAACCTCTTTCTGTCTAGCTATTGGCCATTCAGCTCTTTATTAAACCTTTCACAAGGTACCTTGGCAAAAACACATCTTCACAGTGTACAATAAGATTATCACGCTACAGAGGAGCTTGGCTATTTCCTCTTAAAGTATCATTGTTATCTAATGTCTCAGCTTATATACAAAAATAAGAAAATTGCAAAGCTTGAGAGATCGCTCAGTGGTTAAGAGTATGTATTGCTTTCGCAAACATAAGAGTTCAGTTCCCAGTACCTTTTGGAAATGTGGCTACTGTCATAATAGTGATCACAACTGGCATCCTTCCACCAAAGGAAACTAATGGATCAAGGCTGTGGAATCAGATCCAAGCCCACTAGGGAATCCCAGACCTAGTCCTGAGAACTTTGGTACCATGAGCAAGAGTTGTGGAGAAGCAGAGCCTAACCCAGGGAAATGAAGCCATTTCTAGTAAGGGCAGAAACCCAGAAAGGAGGGTCTAGAAATAGGGAAACAGTAAAAGGGAGAGGCTACTAGAACCCAAGCAGTGGGGGGGGGGAAGCCTGGTAACAGAGCACAGGTCCATTTGGGGTTGATGCTGAGTAGCTAGATAGAAGACCCCATCCTCAAATCAAAGACACCCATGCTGGCTCATCTCTCAAGCATTAGGGTTGCCATACTACATATTCTAAATAATAGAGGTTCACTCCCACTCCCATAGAGAGATACACCAAAGTGAATATAATGTGACATACTTGTTAGTCATGCTAGCCTGTCACAGTGAGGAGGCTGAGATAGGACATTCAGCAACATTTTCCTGTCTGCCTCTTATGTTGCCACAAGATTCTGAGGTCCAGGAAATTCTTAGTCTAAAAATACAGTAACTAAACAGTTTATTTAAAAGGGGAACATAGAGAGCCAGATATATTGCAATTAGACAGAACTAGAATGTACTCCATCATTGAAGGAGAGGTCTAATCCAGTAAGAGGCGCTGGTGAGAGACCCGAGGCTTGCTATGTTTAGGAGGTCCTCAATGTATACTTGTGAGGTGGTTGGCATGGTCATTTGATAACATGACCCTGCTAATGATTACAAGAATGGCCCACTACAACTTGCTCAAAATTTTACAGATTTAAAGCCATGACAGTATAAAATTGCGGGCATAAAATATTAATAGAATAGAGTATTACTCACTGGAAAAAAGAAACGTGCGTGTGTGATAAGTAGATCACAATTTAGTGATACTTTTTAAAATGCTTAAACATCAAGTAAAGATGAAAAATTAAAAAATCACCTCACAATGGTAGATCATAAAGTAGCTTTAAATATAACAAGTTAAGACATATCAAAAAGTTGGTCTCATTTGAGTTAATAGTCTGCTTTTTGCCCTGCCCTTTGTGAAGAACAGCTTGCCAAAGTAGGCCTTTGTTAAGCCTGACAAAAGTTGTGGTCAGGAAGGGATTTTTTTTTCTTGAAAATAACTGTGGTTCTAAAATAGGAGAGATATACATGACCAAGTGAAGATGTGGACAAAATATAAGTATGTTTTTAAAGGCTTATATAAAATTATTTTGGAAAAAAGTTCATCTTAAAACGTATTTAATTGATACTCAAGCTACCTAAAATTATTCCTGAGTAATAGAGGCTTAACAGACACCAAAGATAAAATCATGTTTCTTGGCTTCCATCTACAATGTAATCTGAATTTCCTTAGATACTATTGATTCTGCTTTATATTTGATACTTTCCAGTCCTAGCCATTTCCCATGAAAAAAGCAGGATTTAATGTAACAATGAGCTTTTGGGAATCTTAGGCTGCTAACTATTAGGTAACTAGATAAATATTTCCATGCTTGAATGCCACTGGGAACGGACCTCTCTTGCATGATCAGAAGCTAGTGGTACAATGTAGAGCTGAAAATATAATTCTCTGGTTGATGACTAAAAGTGGGAAGTGAGTCCTATCTTTTGTTCAGGGTGGAAGTGTGTCATTCTAATCTGTCTGAAGGTCATGATGTCATTTAGCCAGAGGCTTTTTCTTGAAAAAGAAGGATATCCCATTGTCTTCTCCCAAAATATCAGGTCAAATTGGGCCGGTCAATCCTAAACTGGAAGGTGTCACTCAGTGGGGATTACAAAGATGAGAGAATTGAGGCAAATGAGAGATGCTGGGGAGAGAGCCACTTCTAAATCTCTCTGTTGTTTGAAACTATTTTTTTTTTTTTACACTGGTCCTCAAATGCCTATCATAACAGTGAGAGGGACAATGCACCCTGGCAATTAAGGACAGTCAGTATCAAGCCATGGACTTGATGTCTATAGAAAATAAAAGTTATCAGAAGGAGGGGGAATTACAACAATGATTTGTATCAGCCCAGGGAAGAGACTCAGGCAATGCCAGAAACTCATAGAAAAGAGACCCTGGGCTTGCCTTTCCTCCTGACATACACCAACATTCCAAATTCTTACAGTTTGATAAAGATCTTTGCAAATGATAACATAAAATAAATAAAATAGTCGGTGCTATGGAGCCATTTCAAAAGCCAGTGTGTAAGACCAAAACAGCAACAATATACTTGGCAGGTTTTTGTTTGCAGTAAAGAAAGTTAATAACTTCTGTTTGATCTGGGTTAAGTCCTTGCAAGTTAAGGCCTCTATTTGTAATTAAGAATAAGTCCCTAAAGCCCAGCTATGGTAGCATACATCGTTCACCCCAGCACTCAGGAGGCAGAGGCAGAGGCAGAGGCAGAGGCAGAGGCAGAGGCAGAGGCAGAGGCAGAGGCAGAGGCAGAGGCAGAGGCAGAGGCAGAGGCAGAGGCAGAGGCAGAGGCAGAGGCAGAGGCAGAGGCAGAGGCAGAGGCAGAGGCAGAGGCAGAGGCAGATAGATTTCTGTGAGTTTGAGGCCAGCATGGTCTACAGAGTGAGTTCTAGGACAGCCAAGGCTACTCAGAGAAGTCTCAAAACAAAACCAAACAAACAAACTAAAAAATACCTTCCTGTTTCTTAGGTCTGGTTTAAACAGCAACCCATGTATTTTGCAACCTACACTAGGCTTTCGACCCCTCTGACATGATGTGTACCCTACTATGTTCTTTCCCTTTCATCGTATCTAACAATGTGTAGTAGCCCATTTCTCTTGCCCTGTGAGCCCTTTGTCTCTCCTA